TGATTTGGCGCATAATATTCGAATAAAGAGATAAATATGCAATTTATCGAGACTGGGAGAAGGTCTCTAAATGAAACTGCCATAGTTTAGTTCGTCAAAGTGTAAGGTATTCAAGATTATTTATCAGCCCTTCTTTATAAACGTGTTTGGGAAACATATACTGCATTCACTCAGGAACTGCTTGGTTTCAAACTCTAGGCTGATCTGTGCTACTCTGAATAATCCGGAAAGTTACTTTATACTAGGGTCAACAGGTTATTGTGTTGTAAAGAGCATCCTGGCAAATTAATCCCTATTTCCGTTTGCAATTGCTACTTAATACATGTGTGCGTCCCCATATGCAGAAAAAGCAAGCCAGACCTGGCAACCGTAGCACAAGCTAGATACGGCTTCGCAGAAAGCTCCACAGCGCATTACGATAAACATGTCAACGATTTATTTAACCTTATATCGCAAATCTACTGAGGACTTTCACATTTTGCATCGGTCCATATCGGTGCTTACGTGAAGACCTAATCATTGCCTACGGAATTCTAGGGAATACTAAACACGTCTGCCTCCCCCGCAATGCCATTCAGTCAAAATGTAAATTACCGGGGCCACTAGATTTATTTGGCCACGAAATACAATCTCCAGGAATGCCAGAGAAACATTTTCTCTTATGTTGTAACTGCTTTTAAGCAGATTCCCAAATTTCGTTATTTTCGTTGCAAATTTATACCTATTTAAAGAATGACTTGCGTTAGCTGTAACCAAACTTCATTACGAGCTGTTTTATGTCGATGCGAGTTGCTGCGAGTGAATGACGACAAACGATATCTGAAATTATAACAGAATCTCCATAATTCGTTAATATTAAAAGAATGTTGATGGCTTTTTCAAAAAAGTATCATATTTAAGAGTATGTTTAACGGATAGAATTTAGACATTTAAACTGCGTCTAATAGGATATATTTTTCCGTTGCAATGCAAGAACACACGTACAATTAAGTGCAAAAATTCTTGAAATTCAACAACCAACGGCAACTTTCGAAAAGACGACAATTCCAAGGAAAATAATGTTGTGGACGACTGAAGTGATTTCGTTTATCGATTAACGTCAAGGGGGACGAGATGACAAATTAGACCAAAACAAATGCTCTTCTTACGCACTAAATCTAAACATGAAAACATGTATGATTGCATGCTGGTATTTTGGAACAAAACAAGGTGAAGTAGTACAAATTTATCCACCATTGGTTTTAAGCGAATAGTGGAGACATACATATTAAAAAGATGAAATGCTTTGCTTTTATAAAAAAGTGTGCTCCTCGGTTTGTACATATAAAACTTAAACAAAATCTGCACAAAGGCCGAACACTAGAAAAAGTAAGCATCCCGCGCACTGTTTTGGTTTTCTATGTAGGAGCGTGAACTTTGCATTTCTGAATAGGCCTACGTATCAAATTTTCTTATTAAAACTGTAACAAACTGATGTATTAAAAGTACGCAATCCAATTAAAACCAACCAAAGTTTTGTCCCAAGTTCAGCTATTTTATGATTAATGGAAACTAGTTAAGCATCACAATTAAAAGATTTGTAAAACAAATTATTCATGTGTGTGGTTAAATCATATTTGTTAGCTGGTTGTATGGATCGATTAGAGTTATTTCATTGTGTGCAACTGGTACAATTATTTCACGTTTTCTACAATATAAGTTGTTTACCTCATATATTCCGTGGAGTCGGGAGACCGCAAGTTTAGAAATTGCTCTTAATAGCATACGGAAATTGTGCCGTCAAGAAATGAACTGGAAATTCATTTGGCCTTATTAATATTTATTATTCGTAAGCAAAATTATATATGGTTTTCTACATAAATCTTATGAGACCAAACGAAAATATCAATTCATATTCAGAACCGGTTGTTTGTAACACACCACGTGCTCACACGAGTCAGCTAAGTTCCGTCAAGTTAAATGTAGGGCCAAAGACAGAGGAAGCCACTTTCTCTTGTATGGCTTTGTTTAGTTTACGACGACGTATTTTGGTTATCAGAAACTGCCATCTTTTCTTGAGACGGTAGATATATTAGAAGGAATCTGATGATTAATTTTTGATCTGCGCCCGCTAAGTGATTGGCGATGGCCGTGTACGTAACTTACCTACCTTTAATCCCAAACCTAGATGATGGGTTTACTTCGCCATTTCAGATAAACGTCTTGCCGTAAGATCATATTATCAGGTTATAAGGAAAGCGGAGGCATATTAGAAGCATTGCTTCGGTATGGATTGGCGTGTCATGATCGCGTGGATCTTGCGCTTTATCAGCATCTGCGCCACTCGAATGGCACGCTTGATTGTATGCAAAAAGCGGTGGAAATGGAATTTTGGGTAAAGGATACGCAGCGATGCTTTCCAATATCTAGGTGCATGTATCGCATTCTGAGCACGGTTAAATTAGTTGGTATGTAAAGTGATGCTTTCGATGCTTGATACAGAATGCAAATATTTATTTGTAGCAGCGTTGTATGATTAACTTACTTGTGGTGAAATTTATCCTTGGCTTTTCAGCATGCTAAGAAAATGTTAGATATGATAAATCCAGTGGCTTAGCTTTTCTAGTAGATATAATCATTAAACAAGCGGAAGCTCTAAATAAAACGATATATAGTCATTCAACATAATGTTTAATATACCTACAGATAATACATAAAATTGGAAATATATTTTTGCGTCATTTTGTCCAGTGAGCCTCCAACCTCACCACGACAGTATAACACTGGTCATTTTGAACATTAATTCGATATACAATGCACTATTTACGATTTGTTGTTCTGGCCACGAACGTTTGGTCAGGTTAAATTAATGGTAATGCCCTCTCTTCGTAAGACAATACTATCACCGAGAAAAATTACCTGAGGATCCGAATTATTACTTTTGCATAGTACTTTTGTAACATCTACGAATTATTCTATTTTAGTTGTCCATTTATGTTGACTGTGAACTGGATTTTATCATTTCACTTCATCCGCTGCTGATAGTGTAAACTGCTCCATCGCAATGAGGCTGAACCTTACCGTGGTGCGATGGTTTGTGTGCCTCAGTGATCCATTGAGCTATGCAGGGTGGTGCATTTGCACATTCATAGCCACCCACACCAGATTGGTCAATGGTTAGATGCCAGACAAACACAGCCTCCTGCTCTTCCAGGTTGGGGGTTGGAATGAGAGTGGCACCTTACTCCTCAAAACGGACTCCTTGTAGTCCAGTGCCAAACCCGCTGCCTTGCGGCCAGGTTTTTGAACAAAGTCTTTGGTTGAGAATACTAATCGTTCTCCTGTCTAGGCCTGGGCAACCTGACAGTATCCTGCCCAAGCGATACAATGAATATTACCTCAAACAAATTGCTGATGCTCTGGCCACCACAAAGGATAATCAACGGTGCACTATCTACTGCATCGAGCAGGGTGGATAGGGGTTTGGTTGCTACTGCTCAAGACTTCCCGACTTCTTATTCCCTCCTTACGCTTTTTTGTGTGGTGTTGGTTTGGTTGGTGTTTTTTTTTTTGTTTTTTTTTTTGTGTTTTGGTTTGTGTTGTTTTTGGTTTTTTGTTTTAATTTTTTGTTTTTTTTTTTTTTTTTTTTTTTTTTTGTTTTTGTTTTTGTTTTTTTTTTTTGTTTGTTTTTTTTTTGTTTTTTTTTTTTTGTTTTTTTTTTTTTTTTTGTTTTTTTTTTTTTTTTTTTTTTTTTTTTTTTTTTGTTTTGTTTTTTTTTTTGTTTTTGTTTTTGGTTTTTTTTTTTTTTTTTGTTTTTTTGTTTTTTTTTTTTTTTTTTTTTTTTTTTTTTTTTTTTTTTTTTTTTTTTTTTTTTTTTGTTTTTTTTTTTAGGGAGAGGAGAAAAAAATATAAGGGGAAAGGGGGAGAAATAGGAAACTAAAGGTTAAAAAATAATTTTAAGGGGGTGTGGGGATAAAAAAAAAAAAAAGATTAAAGATTAGGATGTGCTTCTTGGAGAAAAGTAAAAAAAGGTGAAAAAAAACAATAATTTGATAAAAAAAAGGGTGTATTAAGAAAAAAATTAAAAAATTTGTGTGATAAAAAATTAGGTATGAACAACCTTATTTTTGGGTATAAAAACCGTACCAAAATAAAACAAAAACAAAATAGTATAAATTCAAAAATATGTAGAGAAAACACATTGACAAACCACCAAAAAAATTGTAACCGCCCCTGCATTGTTATTGGGGTAAAACTGTAATAGGTGACCTTAGCCACCCTCCAACACCACCCCCGCAACCCAATCCCCCCTGCCGATCTCGGACCTGACCACCCCCGACCGGTGGTTTGGAGAACCCCGTAACGAGGCCCTCCACGCGCCTCCACCGCCCGATATAAATCACCCCCCCCCCCGCCCTCGCGCTCCCTCTCGCCCTCATCAAACCTCCGCCCCAATGCACCCCCTCCCGCGCCCCCCCCCGCCCAAGGTGCATGTAATCCGACGAAACAACCCTCCTGGGAATCTAACAGGCCCCCAAGACCGCCCCCCGCGACGCCCCCCAACCCTTTACACTCGCCGTCCTCCCCCACGCCTCCCCACCCCCCCCGACGCAACCCCCTATCGCGCCCTTTAATCGAAAGTGCACCCCTCTCCTCCCCCACCGCGGCCCCCCCACTCCCCGGAACCCTACCCCCACCCTCGTCTCCCCCACCCCTTTTACTTTTTCCCACCAGAGGAATTAAAAACGGCTAGGCCCCCGTACCCCCCATCATATGGAGCGACGACCTCCCCCATCGCCCCCCCCCTCCCTCTCCTCACCCCCTACCCCTGACTCCCCCCCCTCCCCCCCCCTCCCTGTACCCCACTTCCATCAGAGGGGTCTAGGGAGACTTGCGCGCCCCACCTGGTTTTGCGCAAACGTCCACTGTAGTCCCCCCCCCCTACCTCCCCGCCACCTAGCCGCTTCACCACTGACATTATAGAATGGAGACTATGCATATAAATAAACCCTCCCGACACCCTACCGGAACGACCCCCAGGGAGATTCCCCCCCTCCCCCCACCCCCCGGACCTCCCCCCCCCGCCCCCCCCCCCCCCCGCCATCGAGGGGTATTTCGGCCGTCGCCCCCTCTCCCGAGATTAACCCCCCGCCCCCTCCCCGCCCGGTCCCCAAGCCGCCCCCCGCGCCGCCGCCCACACCCCCCACTCCCGTCCCCCCCCCGCCTCGCTAAAAGAATGATTTGGGCGATTTAAATTGGAAGTAGATTTGAGGATTTACACCCCCCCCTCCCCCCCACCCCCCCGCCCCCCCCCCCACCCGATAATTATTACAATATCCAAATAAACGATATTGCCGTCGAACTACAATCCAACCAACAGGGTACTCCACCCTCACGCCCTCCCCGGTCCTTCCAACCTCACCTGTTGAATCCCACCCCAGATCCCCCAAAACCGGACCCCAACAACAAAGCCCCCGCCCCGGCCACCAAAACCACCCCCCACCGCCGCCCCACTCACCGCCCGCCCCCACACCCCTCGCCACTCCGCCTCACCAACCACACACCCCCCCCCCAGACACACTAAACACCAACCCGGCCACCAAAACACAACGCATCACAACACGAACCTCACTCGAACTAAAAAAAGAACAAGAAGCGAACATAACACAAAGCGTAAAATGAATGACAGAAAAAGAACAAACAAAAAACAAAAAAACAAAGACAATACTCATGAAAAAAAATGCAAGGTTTTTGTTGATTGCAGTTTGAGTTGATGGAGCCTTAAAGTGAGAACAAGAAAAAAAAAGAAAAAAGGCATGGTTTAACCAAACACGGAGATGACTACTTGGCGACAATGTTGGGAAAACATGTTTCAAAAAAAAGAAAAAACAACACAGCATATACACACCCACGAACAACAAAAAAGCAGCAAAAGAAAAAATCAACCAAAAAAGCACAACAAAACCACCGCCCCCCCCTGTCTCCGCTGCTCCCCCTCGTCTCTGCGCTGGCCCCGGCTCCCCCGCATGAACGATAAAAAAATAACGTGTGCCAATACAAAACAAAAAAACAATGCTCAGTTCACACCTAATCTTTCGCTCAAAAGTGCGATACTAGTAGAAAACAAAAAGAAAAAAAAAAACCCCCTGGCTTCCCCCTGACTCCCCAGCTCGCCCGCCCCCTCAACTCCTCACTAACCACCTACACCAGTATTTAGGTTTTAATCTGCCCCGACGATCCCCCCCACACCCCCCATTCGCCAGAGCGACGATCATCGACTTAATATTCATCGCAGCCCCCCCACCTATTATATCTAGGTTCTCCCCTGCCCCCCGCTCGCCTCCTCGTGTTCTCAATCAGTGAGCCCCCTGAGAACCGCCACCCCGGAACAGAAAAATTCGCCCCCCCCCCCCACACCTCCCCCCGCCCCACCCCCGTCCGCACCACCCCTCATTCCCACGGACATGTAGAAAGAGTCCTCCCTCAACAGCCGCCCTACACTCTACGTCACCTCCACCCTCCCCAAGCCCACCTCAATAAAGGACGGCATCCCCACCCTCACCCCCGCGAGCAGCCTCACTCATGCCCCCCCCTCCCCCCACCCCCCCCTCGGCCCTGCACACCCCAACTCCTGCCCACCGCCCCAACTAAAGAATTTTCCTCTATACAGCGAAACCAGTCCCCCACCAACTACCGCCCACCCCCGATCGCCAAACCAAACGCTCACCGCAACCCCCGCCATGTCCTCACCTCACTCTAACGATTTATGCGAGGAGTGTGGAAACCACTTCTAAGCCGCTCCCCTTTTAGCCTAAGGAGACAGATTCGTATTATTTAAACCCGCCCATCCTTCCTCCCCTCCCCTCCACCCGCCACCCCCCTTGCCCCCCCACCCCCACCGCGCCACAATTACCCCCCAGTTAAACGACACCCCCCCCTCGCCTTCCATTTGTTCCCGCCCTAACCCTCCGTTTTAAAATTCCCGGCATAAACAAGGCTTATTTCCCCCCCCGCTCACCCCGAGAGCATGAAAGTCTTCAACTCCAAATTGAATGATTTTTTCCCCTCTCTTCCCCCACCGAATCCCTCACTCCCCGTGCCCGCTCATGCCCTCCGCCCCTTTCCGTCTCCTCCCCCATCGCATGCCCTCCGAGCCACTCCCCCGTCCCCCCCCCCTACTTACCACCGCCCTCAACATTTTTGCTTATATGTTCCTTCCCTCTCCCCGTCGCCCATCCAGTCACAATTCGTCCCGCCTCCCCCCTTCGGGCACCACCCCCACCGTCCACCCCTATCTGCTATAGCCCTCCTCCACCCCCAATTAGTGTAAAAAAAACAATAACCCCCCCCCTCCCTCACCTCAGGTCCCTAATACTTAGATAATATATGTCACAACTGATTGTTTTCCCCTCAACCATGATTCCCCCTACCCCGCCCCCATTATTTTCATCAAAACCCCTCCCCCTAACCCCGCCCTAATAGTTCCCTATCAAACTGCTTATTAACCACCCACCCCATCCACCCCCACACCCCGCCCCGGCCACTCCACACCCACCCTATGCGATTCATAATCAATCTCTTATTTACGGATCACCCCGCTCCCTTCCCCCCCCCCCCCCCCCCCCCCCCCCCACCCCCCCCGCCGCGTCCCCCCCCCCCCCCTTCCATATTCACACAGCAATTGCGCCCATTACCATATTTTTTCCGCCCCCACCCCCCCTCCCTTCCGCCGCCGCCCTCCCCCCACCACGCCCCCCGCCTCGCATCCCTCCTCTCCCTTCCACGCCCGCCACACTCACCCTCACTCTGCACCAACTCAGACTTCAAGAATCCCCCCCGCACGACACCCCCCTCCAACACCCTCACCCCCCCACCCCTATGTATTAACACCCCCCCACCCCTAGTCTACCCCATACCATCCCTCACGCCAAACCCCCTCTCCCCTCCCCCAGCCCCTCGCCGCCCTCCCCACCTCCCCGATATCCGACCGCCCCCACCCGCCCCTCCCCACCTCTCCCCGATGCTCGCCGCCACCCACTACATCCATTTAATTATAAAGTACGTATATTTTGAATCCCCCTTAGCGTCCCTCCCCCCTAAAAGAGTTATGTATATATGATGTATGTTTCTCACCCCCCCAGAAGAAGGTCCCCCCCTTTACACCAATCTCCCTCTCCCCCAGCCCCCCCACCCTCCCATCCGCCGGACCAGCCCATATTCCCTTGCCCGCACGGCACACCCACCCCCTAGCTGACGCCTCCTCCCCTGCCCACCCCCTATTCTTGTCACCCCCCCCACCCCCCCCGCCCCCCCCCTCCCGAACTTATTTTATTAGTCGTATCCCCCCCACTCCCGACCCCGCGCCCCCCCCCCATCCAAATCTTTCTCTCCCAACCGTTCCCCCCTGCTCTGTAATATCCCCCCCTCGCCGCGAAAAATTTGCGCCCCACCCCCGCACCCCTCGCTCCCCACACCGCCCAACCGACCCGCTCCCTCTCTTCCTTGTAATGCACATATTATTTCAGTGCAAGCCCAGCCACCTCACGTTCAGCCCTTGCGCACTCGCCCCTGCCCTCCCTTCCCCTCCCCTCTACCCTCCTCCAACCCCCAGAGAACAATTGTACCCTAATCTCATTAACCAAATTTCCCCCACCGACCCCCCCCCCCACCTACCCACCCTAATTAGTCCACAGCCCCGCCCCCCTTCCCTTCCGACACGATAGCCATCGAAGTTACCACCCTCCGAGTACTAACTGTTTATCCCCCCCCCGCCCACCCCACAGCAATCACACCTACTCCCGCCTTTCACCCACCTCCCACTCCCCCACTGCCAGCTCGCCCACCCCCAAGACGAGATAAAACCGCGTAAATTTCCGCCGACTCACACTTGCGCACCCCACCCGTACTCCCCCCCCCCCATCCTCCACCCCCCTCCGACCCCCGTAATCCACCCTCACCCCCCCCCAAGCCTCCACCCCAACCCCATCACTCACATCGCCCCCTGCCCTAATACATACCGCCCCTCTTCCCCTCCCTACCCCCATTTCACCCCCATCCTCCCCCTCCCGTGGTGGGGCTTGTATGGCATCGCACTATGTAATCAGACATGCCCCTCGCCCACCTCGTAAGACGTTAAGTACAGGGACCAACAGTCCCTCCACCCCCCCTCCCTATCGCCCACACTCACTCCATCCTCCCCATCATAAACCCTCTCCACCGTATGGGTGAACTCACCCACTCCCCCGTCTCCTCCGCCCCGTCACCTCCCCGTCTGCCGCAACAACTGCCACCCTCCCAAAATAGGTGAAGTTTCCAACGCCTCCTGACCAATACCCAAACTCGACCCACCCGCCCCCTAGTCGAATAAGTCAAGATACCTCAAACCTCCGCCCTTCCTACAAGCGGCCCCAACACACCCGCCCCCCTAGCCCCGCCCCCCTGGGTTATTCTCGGATAAAAGGGACGAGGATAGTTGGTGACGGCCGCTAAGACCGCCCCGTTTAGTTTTTAGTTTTCAACGGGCCCACGCCCTTATCACCCATCCTTTACCTTAATAGAACGGGCGTCCGAAATCCTCCCGACCGCCACCCGAACTACTCTCTCCCATCGTCCCTCACCGCCACTTCTCGCGTCAAAACCTGCGCCTTAAACCCAATACAATATTTTGAATATCTCCCTCAAACCCCCCCCACCAAGATTATTACGTCTACTCCATAACCCCTGCCTCCCCACCCAACCACGACAAGAGCAACCACTCTCCTCCCACCCACCCCCCAATCAAGCTAAATTGAATCCGCCCCCCCAGACCCAAATACCCCTCCCCGCCCATCCCCTCAGCTTCTCCCAACGGCGTCACACCCCTATTCCTCCTCATCCCAACACCAATCTTTCCCATTTCCGCAATGAACCATAAATGAAAAATTTCCCTCCACCATACCGCCAACTCCAAGGACCCTTCACATTAAAACCCCCGCACCCTGCAATTGGTTAGTTTTGTCCAGACCCGACCACCAACCCCTCATCCCTCCGCCCCCTACCTCCCAAACCCTCCCTACAGACTCCACCCCCCACTCGCTCCCCCAGGCCCACACTCCCGTCCCCCTCTCCCTAGAATAACCGCCTCTCGGTCCCTCCACCCGACATCGCCGTCCCCCAATCCCACAGACCACCACCGTTGAAAAGAATTACCCCCGCCAATTCCCATCGCCTCGTCCTCCCTCTTTACACCCACTCGTACATTCACCCCCCCCCCGCCCGCTTTTCTGCGGGCCACTACTCCGAACCCCCCCCCAAATGTGATGCCATTGCCCGCCCCCCCCGCTCCCCCTCGACCCCTAGCCCGCACTTCCCTCCCGCACCCCCTTCCCAACTCTCCTCGTTTGCTACATTCGTCCTCTACCCGCCATCGAAACCCACCGCTCCCCCCATATATTTAGATTTAATCCCCCCGACCCCCCCTCCCCAAACACCCCACCCCCCCAGCCCACCCCACCAACGCCCCCCCACGTCCGCCCCCTCCCTATTACAACTTCCTCCACCGTCCCTCCGCCCCACCCCACGGCAAGCCCCCCCGCTCTTCCCCCCCAGCCAAGTAAAACCCCTCACCCCCGCCCACCGACCCATCCCCCCCGCCCCAACACAACCTTGCTGTACAGTATACCCCAATTCATCCGGCTACCCTCCCAAAAAGGTCACCACCCCCCCCCGCCCACCCGGGACCCCTCCCCTCCCCCCCCCCCCCCCCAGAACCGCCCCCGCATTGTCTTCGACAATTCCTAATAGATCAAAGTTACAACCCCCCGGAACGACGACTCCCGAAACCAATCCCCAGCACACCCCTGCTTCCAAGTCAAATACCGGCCAGCACCAACCCTTCCCCACGCCCCTCCCTCACCCACACGACCCCTACGCCCAAGGTGGTGACTTTCTTTTTATATGCGTCCCTCCCAGCCTCCCCGCGCCCTATAAAAGTCCCCGCCCCTTCACAACCCTCCTCACATTCACTGTTTCTCCCCTATCGTCCGCCCCTCACATACCTCCGTCTTTATCAGGCTCCTCCCCATGTTAATAGTATCCAATCCACCCATAACTATTCTTGAATATACTAAAGAGACCAAACCCCTCTCCGCCGTCCCACCTCCTACCGCCGTCTCCTCCCCTTCCGCTCACGCCCAGCCTCAGTACCGCCACCAATCAAGATTCTGAGACCTTATACGCACGCCCCTCCCCATGCAAAAGATATCCTCAACCATCTCCGCGGATCCCTACATTGCCCGTCTCGTCGACCAACCACCACATTTGATTTAGATCTCCTACTTGCGATACTCTCGCCTGGCGCTCCCCCGCTTCCCAGAAGCCATCGTTCAATCCCCAAAACGCGTCGAAGCCCGGCCCCCCTCCTATTCCCCCTCGCACCCGCTCTGCTAATTTTACCTGCCCCCCCCTCCTCATGCGCATCCCCCCCCGTCTTAAACACTAGCCACCAGACCCCTTCTCCCACGCCCACCACGCTCCAGAAGCCCCCCTCCGTCAAAGTCTCACAGCTAGTTGCGCCATGTTATAAGCTTCTCGGTTTGGACAGCCCTACTTAGAACGCCCCCCGTCGCCGCCACTCCCCCGACCCTTACTCACACCACTCCCTACCCCCTCGCGCTCCCGTCCCAACCCCCTGTCGCCGCCCGACCCCCCCCGAACCCTCCTCCGCTGCCCGACCCGCCAACTACCCTGCACGCCCCTTCCCCACTCCCCACATCCGCCCCCGCCCTCCTCCCTCACCCCCCATGCACCCCCCCCCCCTCTCCAACCCTGACTGGGACTTAATTCTCACTCCCCACTCGTCTCCCTTGCCCCTCACGTAACCACCCCCGGCGCGAGCCCCTTTCATTTACTCCTCTCCCATTCCCCCAACCATCAACCCCGACTAGGATTTTTTTGGGTCAGGTTCCTCACCCGCCTCTCCCGCACCCCGGCCCTCCCAGGCCTCTCCATCCTGGTACTAAACCCCAATATAGTACCAAATTAGTGAGTCTCCACCTCCACCCTCCCTCTGACACTCCTTAGCTCTCCATCACACAAAGCCACTCCACGGCGTCCCCCGGCGGACTATTTCACATAAAGTAAATATTCGCCCCCCTCCCGCAACCCCCCCCTCGCCCCCCACCTCGTCTCTCCTACGACATGCACACCGACTGTCCCCGGCCCCAAGCTTACAGTTGAACCGTTCACCGCACCGCGCACTCCAACCCGCCCCCGCCCGCCGCCCTCTCGTTTTATGAAACCCCCCTTGTAACATCGACCCCCCTCTTCCACCTTCCTGCCCCTCCTGGAGCAGGCCCCTTCCACCCCATCAATCCCCAAGGTCATGACGATTTAATATGAATTTACCCCCCCGCTTCCATTGTTTTATAAGTAAAGTTAGTATTTGTTGAGCCCACGGTCCCCCCCCCCACCTCCCCCCCCCCGCCGCGCCGCCACACCCTGCAACCTCAGCTGCTCCGCCCTCCCACCCATCCCCGACGTCCCCCAATCCACTCCCGCCCCTTCGCCACGATCCCTCCCGGCCTTGCACCTACATCGCCCCCCCCCCGTCCGCGTCTTGCCTCCGCCCGCCGTCATCTCCCCCCCACCCCACCTTTTGTCTCACCGACTGCAGAACACGGACTCGCGCCCTAATTATGTATTAATAGTCTTCGAGGATTGTCCTGTTATATCCCCCTAGGCGTCCCCCCCACATCCCTCCCCCCGGCCCCCGACCATCCCAAACTAACCACCCCCAAGGTTAAGAGTGCCCGCCCCACCGCCCCCGTCCCCCCGCCTCCCTCTTGCCTTTCTCTCTATATGGTGATTGGTCCCCCCCCTCCTCCGGCCCTAATCGGCTCACCCCGTGCCCCCCTCCCACAAACCAACCCCCCTCTACCGCAAACACATGAGTGTCGGGCGGCCCCGCCGTCCACCCCACTGCCACCTTCGGTCCCCACGCCCTGCCCTCCGCTCCCCCCACCACGCCCCACTAATCATCGCGCTCCCGTTCCCCCTCCTGCACCCGCCCCTCCGACCTCTACTGTCCATAAGCGCCCCAGTTTGACCTACACCCCCCCTCTGCCCCCCGCCACCTAGAAGAGGTTTATTTCCCCCCACCCCCCACCCGGGCCCTCCCCCCACTCCCCCGCCCCACCTCCGCTCCCCAGCCCACAATCACTGGAAATGACTGCCGTATGTTGACCCCCCCCACTTCACCTGCCCCCCTCCGCCGCCACCGCCCCCCGCTCCCAGTTGTAATGTCCCTACCCTAGTCGGTCCCCCCCCCCCCCTCCTATCTTGAATATTCATAATTCTTGGATGAAATGTCCCTTAAGTATTGATCCCCCTCCCCCCACTCCCCCACACCGCTCCCATCTTCTCCAGTTTTGTCCTTTTCCTTCTAATCGTCCGTACCCAACCTCAGCTATTCCTTTTTTGTCCGAATCCCGGCCCGCCGCCAACCCCCCCCCACCGTCCCCCCTGTAGGGCACTGACCCCCCCCTTTGAGTTAATACTCCTGCGGGCCCACCCTAACGATTTACCCCTCCCGCTTCCGGGGACCCTGGGCCACCCCCCCCCGAAGTAGTTTTTGCTATCTCGCCCGCCCCCTCGGTCCCCGCCACACCCCCCCTGACAACCCTACCCCCAGACCTCCCCCAACCCCCACCTTCCGGCCCCCCGAACACCCCCGCACCAACAAAGAAAATCGCCAACGCCCCCGCCCCATGGCACAGCTCGGCCCCCAGGATAATGAACTACTCGAAACAACTCCACACTCTCGCACGCGGCGGCGTTTATTTCCTGCCTCCTGTCGTCAAGCACATGTACGACCAAGCGGTCCATTCCAGTCCATCGGTTTGCATTTGGATCTATCGATCCTCCTTCAGATTGGCATGCCTCATTGTACGCACACTGATACAAATCGGTCAACAGGCAGCACTTGCCCGAAAATTAGAGACCCACTCCATTGATATCTGCTTCTTATCAGAGACCCGCATGCAACACTCGATTTCTGTGCTCACTCTGCTATTCAAATCCGTTGACGCAAACAGTATTTTTTCAGTGCGCCCATCCGATGACCATGCATCTTCGAGTACAGGCCAAGCTGGTGTTGGTATTGCCCAGGGAATCCGGGCTGAAGCTGTTCTGGTTGATTTGATTACGTAGCCGTATGTGCGAGGTTTGATTGGCTGACCCGTTTAAAGCTTCGAAGTAGCGCGGGACTAATAAATGTCTATTCATCACCGCTGCCTACCCGCCCACAAACTGTATCGATGATTCGGTAAAGAACGACTTCTACCATTAATTGACTCAACTCCTTCACCACAGAAGAAACACGGACAATTTTGTGCTGGCGGGGGATATGAACGCACAAGTTGGAAAGATGTCCACTGATAAAATGCATCTGGGCGGTCAGCACGGTGTAGACTCCCGTAATGATAACGGTGAGCGGTTACTTCATTTGTGTGAAGATGATCGCTTATTTCTTGCGAGCAGTAATTTCCGACACAGCACCCGCCGGAGGTTGACTTGGCGCCCACCATCCTCAAACCAGCCTTGGACGGGGATCGATCACGTTGCTATTATTACCGCTGGACAGGCTGCATCCAGATTTGTCGCTCGAGTTAGAGCGAATAGGCAACATGCGTCCATGTGAGGGTTGCTCATGTGCAATGTCCGCAACACAAAGGTACTTCTCTAAATGCCCATTTGAAAGGCCACAAACATGTGTGCGCGTGTGTGTATGAGTGTGTGTGACAGAGTCAAAGGCACACTAATAAATCCCTTAGATTGTTCGACCATTCTCAAGCATTCATATCTTGAAGGGCGGTTGTAATGGTGACGTCGTTAGCGTACATGGGTCGCGTTAACTCCTGGGCACCAAACGGTTGCTGCTGATAATATTCCACACTCGCGCGCACATTGGATTAAACAATTGGGTGTAGTAATCAACAATTATCCCTGGAGTTCATTTACTCTACAACCCTTACTCGCCTTGGAATGCAGTTTGAAACTTCGGTGTTCAAAACCCCACAAATTTTGTTGCAAGTGTCCAGACGTTAGCTCGTACGTGTAAGCTGAATAATCCCGGCAAGTCACTGACTAGCGGTTAACATGCTGATATTGATGCTACATGTTGTATTTCCTATATTACTCACAAGAATGAATACATCGTTCATACTGAATTTGAGATAAGCCAGCTAAAATGAAGATAAGTTGCGGAAAAGCAAACGTTCCTTCTAAAATTCAATTAGAAATGACCAATCATCTATATAGACTTAAAGTAGATTAGTCCAACTGTGGTAGTGTTTAAATAAATATTTATTAGAAAATAAACCCAGCACAGCAACAATTGATTTTTCACGAAGAATAGACGCAAACGCGATGTATGATAACATATTGTTAGTAAAATGTAAGCGGTAAAATTACCATGAGAAATCCAGGTCGAATGGGAATGTAATACGTTCAGTTAACCACCTTATCGGTTCCATCTGCCCGGGCACTTGATACCCGTTGTTTGTCTAAGCTCATATGATTAACTTTGCAATGCTTACTGTTTTCCTTGCAAATTACAACATGTGAATGGAGATTTTATCGTTCAGTGTGTTTTCAAGCCATGTCTAAGTAGTTCCATTCCAAACCCCGCTGTGAAGATACCATAGTACCCAGGTGTCCCACGACATACTCATTTGAGATATTAGCTAGATAAATGTTGTGCAAGGTACTTCTTGTAAATTTGCTAAAAAGGTTTGCACACTCTTTCGACAGTCGCTGATAAAACAGGGAGCAGCGGAATTTACTGCATATGTTGGTGATGTGATTGTTTCAAGGGGGCCATCAGGAAATGTATGATATTATCGTCTACTAACGCTTATAGCAAGACAGCATGTGCAATACACAGAAACCCCAAGTCATCTGTGTTTTACGGTACATTTAGTTGTGCATCTTTCTACCTAGTAACCATACTCACGGCATCTGTTTCCGTATTTCCATATCTGTCTCAATAAATTGTTGATACCCACACTTCTGAATAAACGTAAGGCTGTCGTTTCAGTTCTCATCCAAACGCTAACTGACCACTGATTACTTAGAATTCTACGTGCGATTTTATAAAACTAGAGAAATATGGCTGTTATTCTTTTATTCAATCCAACCTCATGCACCCACGCAGTGTTATGGTTCATGAGGGTTATTATTTCTTCATTCAGGTTGTGGTAGTCCATACACAAGTGTGAACAAATGCCCGTTCGCAACACTGCAGTATTATAACTCGAAGCAGGGGTCTTTGGTATATCAAATGATATCTCACTTTGAATGATTAACTGGAAGCCATTTAGAAACAATTATAAGCACCACACTTCAGCCTGACAGGCATGTCATTTTCACTCGAGTAACACCATTATCTGCTGGCGCGATGTCTAATTTGTACTCGCCTATAGTGCAAATCTCGATAACCTCTGTTGAAGTTTCGATAAATTCCCACTTGACAGATGAATGTTATTACATTTCATCTCGTGTGACACCGTGAATTATTATGGGTTTCAATATGAAGTCCATGTATCCCATCTCAATTGTTTGTATACGCCTCATTTGCTGCTGCCGCTTTCAGGTAAACGCACTGAGATTCAGACAAGTCATCAAGGTTGATTTCCGGAGCAGCGGAAATAAGTTGTAACCTCCGAATCGAAATGCATGGGCATAGGCAGTATTCAAGACACTGATGAATTGGTCGAGATATGTTAGCGGTCAGAACGAATGACCAGGGGGAAATAAATAGTAACACATGACGGACTGATTGGTGGTTCTACCCCCTGTTGACTGTCGCTTATGTCGGACAACAGACGATTAGAACCGGCTCTGCAGTGGACATAATCTCACCGTTTCCCTGCTAACTTGGGAAGTTTCTTACGCCATCTACGTCATCCATTTTGATGTCAACCTTATTCTATATACCGCATGTAAGTCGCGCTTGGTGCAGTTTCTTTCTAGAATGATTAACTACCGACCTGGTGCAATGTGGTATCTTTATTGCACCTGCATTTAACCGATAAGCCACAGGTAAACTAACTTTTTTAGGCTTAATTTTCTCGGTTGTATTTCGCGATTATTCCCCGTTTTGCCCATTACGAGATTGCACTCATCAAGATCTATGCTATGCTATTCTTTCTACCGCTTCAAGCGGTGTCTAGTATGGTTACATACCAAGAGTGAACTATGAAATTTTCATTTTCGTATTATAATTCGGCCGCGATTCATATCACTATGTCAGCTCCATGGTATTGCTCACCGTAAATGTAGCTTGACTGGCTGCTCAGTACTAACGTGTATGATGCTTAGAGAGCCGTTGCATCGCAGATTAGTGGCTCAGTCCACCCATGAGCTCATTCGTAATTGATGGGAGTGCGGTATTTCCGAGCGATTTGCGTGCTTGCTACAGGTCATTGCTAGGGTGGCAAATTATTGTGTATGTTTCCAGTTCGATGGTTACGTTTGAATCAAAAGGATATCATCGCTTAGCCGTTTATAGTAGCATAAATTGTCAAATTTGATATTTGTAACACAATGCAAAACGATCGCCTGTAGTGTGAGCAGTTTGGATTACGCATTCGAAGAGAAATTTCCCTGGAAATTCTGTGTCAAATGAACAATCCCGACAATTAACCGACTAGCGATTATCACAATATTGCCATTCCATGTTCCGCTCCGCAGGTTAGTGAAGAGAGTGAGTATAGTTATAGTTCCAGTTATCCCTCAGCCATAATGAATTTACCGGGGCCTAAGAAAACACACGTATAAACCGGATGGAAGGCAGACATGCAGAGACGCCGACCAGAATTTGCATTACACATAGCCAATCTTTGGAATAGATAAAATTGAAAAGTTGCATCTAACGGGAAATGGAACGTCAGTGTGTTAGTATATAACATCGGCAATGAATCGGCGCATAGCGACAATGGTTTTATGAGCACCGAATGGCTGCACCCGAAACGTACGATATAGACCGTTGGCAAATATCTTATGGCCACAGTAGAATACAGGTCGGTAGGTACAAATGGTTGAGTACTTGGATATTTGCACAATAAATGTGAACACTG